GCGCAGCCGTGCTCTGGAATAACGCAGCTCAAGGCTGCTGCTGGCTGCAGGTCACCACCTCTGTTCGTGCACTACCCGGAATCAAAACCTCGCTGGGGCGGGCATTAACAGTGTCTGGGACTGGAAAAGCTCAAACTTTGTACCTGATCTGGGCTGAGGGAAATTCTGCTTGCACGCCTGCCTCCAGCACCATCCCAGGGTGGGCAGTGCACCATCCTAAGCGCTGCCCCTCTCCTGCAGCCCTGGGTGTTCTCAGCTGTATGAATTGGAAATGTCTCACCCAATAAATAAACTCTGCAGTTTGTGTGGCAGCACTTCGGTCATTTCTGCAAAATAACGCTCAGCTCTGCGGTGAGGTTCAGGGGGGACGGGGGGGGGAGCAGCAGAAAGGTTCAGGTCGTGTTGTGGGGAGAGCTGCAGTCCTTGAGGATAGCGGGGTTGAAGACGCTCCCCTCAGCGGCACCAACCCTGCAGCAGCTGGAAAGGGGAATCGAGCTCCTGGCCTTAAGCTCTGCTCACAGCCTGCGCTGAGCTCAGCCTCGCTCCTCTGTTCCCGCCGCGTCCTGGGAGCAGTGGGAAACCTCGCCAAACGCCACGGAAGCCCAGAGGGAGCGCTTGCACCCGCAGCTGGGGGCTGCTCGCTCCACCTAGCGCTCACGGCAAACGGCAGGGAAGCCAGACACAAAGCAAACGTGAGGCAGGAACAGGATTTAAGGATTTAAGCCACCGACGTAAAGCTCCAAGGTGTTCTCAGACACGGGAGCCGTCCCCAGACCGGCTGCGCCTCAAGCAAGTTTTCTTTTCCTTTGCTTTTCAGCCCTGCAGGCAAGGGGCTGGCAGAGCTGGAGAGCAGCCAGCTGCACTCCTGGCTTCTTTATTTCTCATGGAAAAAAATTCCAATAACGAGGCGCTTTGGAAAAGCCTCAGAGCTGTCCATGGAGAAGCAACACAACAAACAAAAAAAAAAAAACGCTTGAAGTTTTACTTTTCCATCTTACTTTATTTCACTTTTTCTAGAAAATTCCTCCATAGTTCCACAAATTTAACAAAAAGTTTAAAATTCAGGACAAACAATCCTGTAACGTATTACAAACATGATTTTTTTTTTTTAATTTTTTTTTTTTTTTTAATCTTGAAGTTAAGTCTTGGGCCAGCTGAATTTCTTACAGCTGAGCGAAGAATTCATTTCCCAACACAACTTTTAAAATCCTCAAGTGACAAGGTATTTAATACCTTGGCTCTAGGCAGAAATACAATTAAAAATTATCTAGAAGTTGAAGTACTTACATTTTTTTTTTTTTTTTTTTTTTTTCTCTTTAGGAGTGCAAACTCATCTTGTCAGTTTTTGATGGCTATTTCACGCCCCCGGGAAAGCAATACCAATCGATTTTCGTCGGTTTAGAAGTAATACTCGTACAAGGTGCACAACGGTTGTCTACAGCATCGCCACGAGCCAACTGGTGAGTGCCAGGCACCTGGGCTATAGCAGAGAGAAGCGGTGGAGGGGGGGGTGTGTGTGTCTCTGCTCGCAGAGAACGCGACAGGGCAAGCTCTGGAAGGGAAGTTTAAACCTCTCTCACCATCAAATACGTTCAAGATCTGACAAAAACTGCTTCTGGATTGTTGCATCAATTGCTTTGCTAGTTCTGACGCTCCCACCGCACACAGCAATGGAACTGGTGGCAAAATCATTGCACTTCCATGTATTCAGCCTGACCACAGCACAGCCAGTCTCCTTTCCTACGTGTCCGATATTCCTCAGCTGGTGTTTCGGGATCCAGCCAGCCTTACTATCCTTTTTTTTTTTAATTTTTTTTTTTTTTTTTAATAGTAAATGTCAGTAATCAAAGCCTCAAGGCTTAATACATACGCAGACCAAGACGACAGGAAAATGCTCCTGACCCCTCTTTTGCCCTTTAATACAAAGGCCAAGGACAAAGGAAAAGCCGTGTCCTGATCTCACCTCCAACACGATTCAATTCCAAGCGACTCTGAAAGCCTTCAGACTGATCAGCACTTGTTCACGCCTTCAGTAACAAGACGAAGGACACTGAAAAGTAACAGAATTCTGTCCATTTTCCTTGGAAAAACCATTATGGCTAGAAGTCAATTTTGGGTATTTTTTTTTTTTTTTCTTTTTTTTTTTTTTTTTTTTTTTAAACAATGCAAGCTACTACACATCCTCGAGGACCTGAAGCAATGCTGACAGCAGCACCGCCACCTCCTTCCTATAGTACAATATCCATCCATGCTCTCAAGAGTGACACAAGAACAAACACTTTATCCACAAATACCTGTACACGGCATGTTCAGAACAGCATTCAGCCAGCCTATAGAGAATCTACACAGGGAACTCGTTCATATGTAACTAGAAGGGGACACAAGATGAGGCCCAAATTTGACCATTCTTTGTTTGCAGAGTCATTCCTCCTGTGGTCCCCGACGCTACCACATACCCCAAAAAACAACAACTCTGTAGAACAACTAAGTACTTGCAAGAAACCTTTTAGTAACAAATCAGCATGTGCACACAATGGAAAAGAACTATTGCTGGGGGAACAATCCTAGTTCAGGTTTTCAAGGAGATTATAAACAGTCTAAAAAAAATCCAGGTGTAAAATACTTCTTATAAAAACCAAACAAAATTCCTATCAATGCTCATTAGACTTCACGAATAAAGTCGGTTCCAGGACAGGACGATGCCACAGCCGCGGGCGGGAGCCCTGGGCGCTTCCAGCCAAGTTCAGGAACACCCTCCCACACGCGTTCTTGGACCGGCTGGGAGCAGCGTGACGCCTCAGATCTTAACAGGAGAAGGGGGCAGAAGGGAGGTGGCACCTCCAGTCCCTCGTGGGGTTACGGCTGGAGGCTACCGACAGTCCCAGGAGAAAGGCTGCCAGGATGGGCGACGCGGATGCAATGGCTGCGGGGGGGGAGTTACCTGGGTGGAGAGAGGAGGCAAAGACCTCGGGAGATCTCAGGCTCAGGCCGGCTACCACCGCTGCTCCTGCCGCTTCAGGGACAGGACAGTGTCACCAACCCCACCCCTCACCGGGGGCACCGCGTGCCAGGGGGCCTCTCCGCGCGCCCAGGGAGCCAAGTTTGGGGCCGCGGCGACCGCACAAGGCTTGCCTCCTCCACGCCACAGACCCAACAGAGACCATGAGTAGTTCGCACGTACCCACCACGCCTAACACAGCACCCGGGCGAGTCCGTGCCACTCGTGGGCTGTGTCCGCCGTCCTCCACCGCGGTGCATCCCACTGCCAACCAAAGACAGAACCGCAGCTCCTCCTCTTCCCGCTGTCCTCCACCTTCTCAGCGTACGTTTGTGCACAGGGTTTCTATCCAGGCTTGGCATTGTCCATCAAGAAAGAAAACAGCTGAGATCACTGTCGTGACAGGGTTTGCACCTGGCATGAGCTTGATTTTTTTTTTTTTATATATATATATATACACACACACACGCACACACAAGACACATGAAAGATGGTACAAAGACAAAATTAATGGGAATCGGGTCAACATGACCCAACTCAAACAAGCTTATCATCATATTGCCACTTAAGTTGATTAGTTGCAACATTTCCATGATAAAGAAAGGGGTAACCCAAAACAAGGGACTGCAATTTCATAATGGAGAAGGGACAGCAAACCCTGGAGCAATGCCACCCCCCAGCTCCCACACGGGGCTTTCACTCATTCGGGAGGTCCACTGGTGAGCAGAGGGCTCCTCTGGACTGCTGCGCTCCTCCCTGCCTGCAGCCCACTTAACATTTGGCAAAAGCTTACACACTGATTGGAAAAACTGAGCAATTCTTCAAAAAAAATACTGAATTTAGGCAACAGGAGTGTAACACAGTTTTGATGAAAGCTACGGGACTTCCCTCGTGCTCACCTAGACAACACTTGGAAGTCAATACTAGTTTAACTAGAAATATATGAAAGATTCTGGATTAGTGTTTACCGTTTCCTGCCCTTTCTTGGACAGGCAGCAGGGCGGGAGAGGGAGGAGGAAACAAACCTGACTTCACTTGGTTTCTACATCAGCATTTTCCAGGTGTGTCCCAAGATAAAACTCTCCCTTGTTTTGGTTTTCCCAAAGTACAGCCACTACTATAGGGGCCACTGTAGGAGATTCCTCTTTGAGAACATAGA